CTGCAGCTGACAATGTCCAAAAACTACGACAACTGGGAACGGCTCGTCAGGGCCACGCTCCTCCGTGAAGAGCTCCGCCGCCTCTGCCGTGAGGATTCACTCTCTTCTTCTTCTTCTTCTTCATTCTCTTCATCTTTCTCCTCAGATTATTCTAGAAGCTTCCATGAACCCGACTTCTCATCACCGTCCATTCACGGCATACCGTCCTTTTCCCACCGTCAGATCATCCGCGCCACCAAAAACTTCAGCAAACAGAACCTGATCACGCGTGGCCACTCGGGAGACCTCTTTCTCGGGGAACTATCCGAACCAATCGTGATCAAGAAAATCGGGTTTTATAACCGTTTGGCATTTTCGTCTGAAATTGCATTTTTCTCCTCACTGGATTCCCATTCTCATCCGAGGTTCGTCCCGTTATTGGGACACTGCTCGGAAGACGAGAGGGAGAAGTTTTTGGTTTATAGGTATTTTCCGCGTAGGGACCTTACGAACTCGTTTTATCTCAAGACGGATGGTGATGACGTGGATGAATTGCGTACGTTGGATTGGATCACGAGGTCGAAGATCGCTAGGGGTGTTGCCGAGGGCTTGGCTTACTTGCATCACGAGTGTAATCCGCCTCTCGTTCACGGGTATGATTTTTCATTTTTTTTAGTTTTTTTTTTTTTGTTTAATAAGCTCGTGTCGTTGATGTTGTTGTTAGACTGCCTACATACTTTGCAAGTTTATGTACTTGTTTGAATTTCAAGTTTGTTGCTTTTTTGAATGTCGATTGATTGGGTTTTGAGAGAAAAATGAAGTGTTTCTATTGTTTTTTTATAAGATCGTGTCGTTGTTTAAGTAGGGCTTAATTGCAAAATATAACCAGCATCTTGTACGCGGTGGCAATATTAGCCACCATTTTTTACGAATTGGCAATATTAGCCAATAAATTTCAAAATTTTGGTGTTATTACCCATGTCCGACCAAATTCGATGGCTATTGTTGTCATTGCGTAAAAAGATACTGACTATATTTTGCAATTTATTTGTCGAATTTGGTTGAATTTGTGTTATAATCTCAAAATTTTGAAAGTTGTTGGCTAATATTGTCAATTCATAAAGATGGTGGCTATTATTGCCACCGCGTACAAAATACTGACTATATTATACAATTTAGCCTTTAAGTACTTCCATACTTAATCTGTTTGAATTTCAATTTCGTTGCTTTTTGAATTTTGACGGATGGGTTTTGAGAGAAAAAATGAAATTTTTCTGTTGTTTTTTATAAGTTTGTGTCGTTATTGAAGTAATGTTGTTGTTAGGTTGTCTACGTACTTTGCAAATTTATGTACTTTCATACTTTATTCTATTTAAAATTCAAGTTTGTTGTTTTTTGAATTTTCATTAATAAGTTTTGAAAGAAAAATGAAGTTTTTCTAGTGTTACAAGTTCGTTTCATTGTTTAAATAACGTTGTTGTTAGGTTGTCTAAATACTTTGCAAGTTTATGTACTTTCATACTTCAATCTATTTGAATTTTAATTTTGTTGCTTTTTGAATTTTGATTGATGGGTTTTGAAAGAAAAATGATCTTTTTCTGTTGTTTGTA